AGTGTAACAGCTGCTCCAAAAAACATTTGTACAAAGACCACAAAGAACGGACCGTGATTAGGGCTGCGGTTGTTTACTCAAGCTAGTATTCGAATGACGTGATTCTGCAGGTTTTTTTTCTAGAGGAAGTTCATGAGTGGAATTCACTGGCGACCGACACCGGATTGGCAAGATCTGATAAACCTGAGTCAGCTACAAGTATTCTGTTTAATCAGTGTTTCTGGGCGACTGGAAGACCGCCGTTAGTTTTGCAATGTGCGTATTCGGTCAGTCAAAATTGAACGCTCAATATCACTGAAGTTTTATCCTGTTTGGACCATTTGCATCACCAAAATAATCTTTAGTAAGCTACTACTTGCATCACCAGACTTTTGACAAGGCACGAAGTCTAAAATAGAGTCTGCTGTAAGATAACTATACTGAAAGAAACCGCCAGGTTTTCCAGAGCGAGGCAAGATTTCGTTGCGGGTGGGTCCGGGATATTTATTGTTCGCATTCATATCACTCTCGTTTGAACAGACATCCTATCCTGGCGCAATCATTCTGTTGAATCCACACCAATGGGAATCAAAGAACTGGACGCGAGTTTCGCTATTCTTAGAGTTCATCATCACATCGATACTGCTGAGCTGTGGTAATTCTTCAAAAATGGTGGATTTGCATGCTTCTTCCTGACTTGCGAGGGTCTCATGGAAAACGAACTGTCAGGCGTTCACGCACCATGGTGTGATCTGAATCAGGTTGCGTGTCACAGAAGGAAAGGCAGTCTTGAAATGTAGCTCTCCACCGGTGGCTGATGGCCACGCGATTCAACTGGGTCCATGGTTCATTTGTAGGTAGTGGTCACCAGGTCATGCGAAGCGAACGTTTATGCCTCCATTACAAAAAGAGTTCATGATCAGAGCGCAAGTGGAGGAGTTGCTCTCCGTTGTCCGTGCGACGAGCATCGACTCCGAATCGACTGTCCGTGTGTGACTCCAAGGAGCTCAGGCGACCACCTTGGGCGTCCATATAGCCCGCAACAATAACAAAGTCAGTGCCTTTTGCTTGACCAATGAGCCTGGATAACTCTCGATAGAAAGTATCTTCCTCAACATCAGAACTGCAGTCCGCTGGGGTATAAGCCGACAATACAAACGGACACCGCTTTTTATATCAAGAGAGATTGTGGTTGATTTAGCTGGATAATGGGACGGCGTAAGGACGACTATTCACTGGGATGCAATTCAGAAGAGCGCGTTCAGTTCTGGGGCTGAGTGTAACTCTCACGCCATATATTGTGAACCATCGCCTCTGAATCACCGGAAACACGAAGGAAGAAATGTGAAAGAGCTGAGCTCGTCCTTGGCGCTTTGAGACGCATAACCACAATTGGGTTTTGTATGCGTGTTTCGGAGACAAAACATACATCGATTTTAGGGGAGTATAAGGTTCCGGCGGGCACTGTCTCTGTGCCAACTTGACAGACGTTAAAAGTTCCTTGGTAGAAAGGATCTCGTGGATTTAGAAGGGTGTCATTTTGTTTATCGTTAATGGGCAACGGGAACGTAAGGCCCTTTGGTCAGATAACTGACAGTAAAATGACCCAGGGACGTTTGGACCCACAAAGCAGTAGGAGGATGTAGGGTTCTTTACGGGGTGTCCGTAGCCCCTGACTCAAATGTCTGACGCACGAAGCAGTGGTTCTTGGGGTTTCCTTTGGCCTTCCTCAGGAGGGAAGGGGGCAGCATCGCCTCTTCCATGAATATGAACATGTTGGTCACTTGCAGGAAACACCTTACTGCCTTCACACTCCTATAGCAGAGGACGCTATGACCAGGCCGCCTCGTAGCACGATTACTCATAGTATGGGGTCTAATCGCTCTTGGCCTGAGTTTTCCCCTCTGGCCTTCCTGGTATCATTGCGCCTTGTGGAACGAATTTCCAGATAATGTAATCTGCGAGATCATTGCATCCTGACCACCACATCAAGGTGGCAGCTTTAGGGGATAACGAATGTGAATACATCAATGGTTGGGGTCATTGGCAGACATGGTCCAGTCGCGCTCTGAATGGCGTTGGTGCATCCAACAAATTGCCACCAATGCTTAGCTATCTTCCAAATCTACGCACTTGAAAAAGTCCACTGGCAACCGTGCAACTGTACATCAATTATATCAGTTGCCGCCTCTAATGCGAAGCTTTCTAACCCACCTCCGTAAACCATTGGTGAACGAAAGTGTGTGCGTGCGACAAGTACGCAGTTATTAGAGCTGATAATGATGATGACGACAACCCGTTCAGCACTTTCGCTGCTGGAAGACCGCATGATCAACCGAGAGAGAAGGTTCGGAATTGGTGTTTTGACAATGTTCTCGGTTACCACCATGATTTTGCGGGAAAGTATTGAAATACTGCCCTAGGTGTTTTGCTGCTTGTGGGTTTATCCAAGATTTATAACTCCCAATGTCTCACAATAAAATCGCTCCATTCAGTTGCGCTGACAGCTTCCGTTCAGTTCCGAGTGCCAATAAAGCTTTGTTGACCCTGCACAGTAAAGGTATCTTTACAGGACAGAAGACCTTACCCACTACGAACATCGGCTAAGGCAGTAACAGTTTGTGGTTTCCGAAAGCGGGTTACTTCCAAACAATCAAGCCAGTGGTAATAAACTTTGCTATTCGCCTAGGTTGACTGTCAAGTTCAAAATTTGATTTCTTGATCATTACCAAATATTCGCGTTGGCCTGGCTTGAATGTGCTTTATTTCGCCAACTGACCGAATCGATTCTGAACCAGTGAATAATTTCCCCTATATTAGTAATTTCAGGAAACTGAAACCAGAAACTCGCAGACTCAAGCTTCTGCAGCACCGACACTGAGTCCATTCAACAGTGTTTAGGGCACGGGATTCATTGTCGACCATTTTCGCATTCTCGGCATACTCATGTCCCATGGTTGCACATCCCTACATGATGGCAATGTTCTTGAATCGAAGCGTTAGACCTTATATTTATTTTTGGAACTTCACTTAACAGCAGTCCATAAAATTTCCATGCAGTAGTGGTAGAGGAAGCGTTTAGTATAGTTCACTATTAAAGTGAATCTTCAGGGAAAAACAAAAATAGAATGGTAATAGGTCCTTAGTAGAAGAGAGCGTACAGAGCGATGGCGAGGACCTGGCTTAACCGTTGGTAAAAACCAGCACTTGCAGTAAAGCTGGAAAATGGATAGATTGACAGCCACCAAGTGCTCAGCTATTTTGCCGTGGGAGTAAAGTACACCGTCCGGTCATCAAGCCGGCAGCTTCTATACGAGTGGTTTACCTATTCGAAAGAGATTGGGATTAGTTCACTGTGGGAGTATTCTGCTTGAGATCTCCGCTTAAAACTATCTTTGACTTAGTGAGTCCAATCAGACCATACTTTTACGATATATAAAAACGAATCTACTGTGTGCGATTATCGATCGTCCGACCCTCGTTTGAATTACTGATTATTCGCTATGCACAATTCTTTGGTGTGGCAACCTCAAACTCGTGAGCTGGAGGTTTACGTCGGATGATTGTGAGAATAAGATAAAGGCAGTCGTTCGGCTGTAACACCCCTTCGGTGCCTACCTACCATACCACTTAAAGGAAGCACGAGGGCTGGAACACTGCCACGTTGTCCAAACCCAGACAGGGTAAGTAGTGAGCCGGAGGTCGGGCCCGAATCACGGACACTCAGGCCAATAAATTCGCGTTCTAACCAAGCAGCCATGCGAGGGGGTGCCATCCACTAAGTTTAACAACCTCCCCAGTTTGTGAGCACTGTGGCCTCATAAGTCAACCAACAACAACCACAGAACATTAACTATTCCATCCTGGGACTGTGTGACAGAAACGTGTGGTTGACACACATATCGTCTAAATTCGACCGTCCCACTCGATTGCACTGTGCAGCCAAATTAACTCATGCAGATTAAGTGTGCAGTCAGGTGGCACGATAACAAACCTGGCGATAATAACCTAGGCTGAGGTGATCGATTGAAGCACACTTTGGTGTGCCCGAAATATACTTTGTCAAGCTTGAGGAAATCACAGCCCTCTTCGGCTGGAGAGATTCTGACCGGATATCGTCCAAATCACTGCATGAACCTGATACCAACCTATATGCGTGTTCCGGTGTTGCGTCAATTATGATCGTTCAGCTGTGGCACCTTTTCGGCGCCTAGCTGCCATACCACCAGAATGAAGAATGACGGTTGGGATACTGACAAGTTGCCCAAGCCTAGACAGGGAAAGTCCAGAGGCACAGGTCGGGTTCCAACCACGGGCTTTCTTTGAAGTCGAGAATCTCATCATATCCCAGCAAATGCTATTGGGGAAGACATGGGGAACAGAGTGTTTGCCAGTCACTCTGTCCCAAGGGGCTACGTTTTCTTCGAAAAGATATTTTCAAATTCTTTGAATTTGTATCCATTAGGCTGTACCTAAAATATCACTGGCGTTTTGTTCAATTACGTAGTTGCTGCGCATTACTTTTCTTTGTTATGTACGCATACCTTCACAACATGATGATCTAACGGTGTAAACCGTCCAGTTTTCCATCGAGTACTCTCATCTCATTCGTGATAGGCTTTTATTCGTGTACCATGGACGACTAAATAGGCCAATCCTTATTTTTGAGTTCACCTTGTCACCTACTATTTATGTGTAACATCAAGGGAGTAACTGCACCTACGATTCTGGTACCTACGCGCGAGATATCTTTAAAAAGTCCAATTGTGGCTGTTTTCTGAACGTATCGGTCATCTGGTGCGACGAACTACTTGTTGATCGATTGGGTTCGATACTTTGTTACAAGGTTAGCCGCTATCGAGTGATATCTCACACGCGACTAGTTTTCAGTCTGTCCTCACAATTTAATACAATGCTAGGGTGTTGAATCCATCTAATTCCACTAATAGGGTTGGACAACAACCCCAATGATGTATAAGAACTGTATTCACAATATTTACAAATCTAACAAGCAATTCTGTTCAGGTCTGGAAGCTTCGCTTTGATTGTATTTCATCCAACAACTGTTGTAACTCCTCATCAGTGAACCGCGAGCTGTCCAGGCTAGGAATCAGGGCTTTGGCCTCCTCTGCGGTGTCGGGCAACAGGTTGGCAATCGCAGCCAGCTCGAATCCGTGGAACCGCTTCTGGGACAATAAGCTGAGTACACAGAAATAACAACAGTCAGGTCAAAATAAAGGTTTACCTTCGCACGCTTTCGATTGTTTCTCTGTTGTTGAATCTCGACAACTGGGTGGCGTAATTCAAGGTCTTAGTAAATGCTTGTGAGAGTTCGAGTTCATGCACGGTCGCGGACTCATTTTGCTCCTTGCTGCACAAAAAGATGGATAGTTACATGGTAAATGGGAGACTTCACAAATTATTCGTGTAGTACGTCAACTGGTTTTTTGTTCTGCTGGAAAGACACAGGCATTGAATATGGTGGACGCGGTACGCGTAAGTCCTACGATAATTGAAAGCCTTTGAGTTATTGATTAATGAAGAACATGAATATATGGCTTAATTAGGGGACCAGAAGCTTTGTAGGATAGTTCAGTTTTTCTGGCATTCGATCACAATGCGAATCTACCAAGTTCTGAAGGATATTTGGAACTACGAGCTCCCTTTGAACAGCTTCCGAGGCATATGCCGCATAAGAGAAGTGCGGGTACGTTAAGCCTGTGCAGTTCCACGGGTATCCATTCATACCGCGCGACCTGATGTTCCTTAGGCTTCTTACGGAAGTTCATAAAACCTTGTGTGGCGATGCCCTTTTGAAACATATTGCTTAAATTTTGTGAGTAGAGAGAAGATTTCGAAATTTCGATGAAATAGAAGTCGGCGGTCTCGTTGGCAAACTGGTGAAAACGCCGTTAAGATGGACACAAGTGCGATAAGTCGTGTGGGTTGACGAGAAACACCGGAAATGTTTCTAGCAAAGCTTTTCAACAACGCTTATGGCATTTGAGCGTCTGTTTCCACCAATCGTGTATTGTTGTCCCTGATGACAACTGTCGTCGATATGCTGATGTGAACAATGAAGTGTTAACAAAAAAAATACCAGAAAGAAAAACCACAAGCGCACAAAATCGTCAGCTTAATGTAGGAAAAATCTGAGACTCAACAACTGCGCGACATGACCGCGAGCGCTCGTTAAGGTGAATTTGACTTGCTTCATCGATTGGTAAAAATTTTGCCGTAGAAGCTCGTCTCATTTAACGGTCGATCTTCTGTAGATTCCAGGCATAAGTATGTCAGTTCTGACACAAATTAATAGCAGGCGACCACTAACTTCTTCAAGGACTTCGTTCCCACTGTTTTGCCCGCAACCACTAATGTTCAAATTCTGAAGCGATTCGGCAGAGAAGTTGCTGTGGGGCGCAACCTTAGCACTTCATCGATAACTCAAATACGGGAACCGTGTACTGCTATCGAACTTACGGTAGCTTTGCTATCTAGGTGTTACAACCAACGAACTTCCGGCGATTCTGAACCATCTGCCGGAAAATAAACCGGCATTTGTACAGATCAAAGCTCCCGAGATGGTGCATCCTCATTTGATTCTACGCCGGACGACAATCACATCTGTGCTCTTTGTGGGCAGATATGCGCAACAGGCCCAAATAGAGCTCCGGTAAGCGAAACGATTACTGATACAAATGAGCCTGGCTCTAAAAACGAGAACATCTGGATAATTGGGTTGAACACTACTAACAATAATTCAACCGGCCATCTGCAGTTTCTCAGCCGGATTCTCGACCTGCAACAGAATTCGTGATAGTGAAATCGGAATCCCAGAAGGCTTCCGAAATAGGTAAATACCTTGTCTTTACCAAGTGTCACCAGGCTGTAGGTCCTAAAAAACTCCCACCCGTTCTGCTCAAAGACAGAAGCGAAATCTTCAGTCGATGGTCATATATCTTATATGCCTCCATCTGAGAAAAAGGGCATCCCAGCCAACTGGAGTGTGACAGTCAGATGAATTAGGTGAAGCATCGGTGTTGAACACTGATGTCATGCTGTCGATGATGATGATGAATTAGATTGACCTCCGTTGTACCCAGATTCTGGGTCACTTATTCTACGTGAAAACAAGACAGGAGAACGGTAGCCAGGATTCGGACGGAAAGGGGTTGTTTGGTCTACACTTTCACGAAATGCGCATAGGCGTCTACAATCTTGGTTTTCTTTGACTTCAAAAGTGCGTTCTACTCTGTCGACCGGTTAGGTCTTCTCAACTAGCTTGCGCTGTTCGAACTTTCACACTTGTGGGTGCGCAACTGTATGAGGGGTCCTCCAGAAAGCCCGACAAGGGTGTCCACTCTCCCCGTATTTGACCTCATCAAAAACAATGAGATGAACTCTGAAATATCTCAAAAACTCCAGCGTTCATATTTCTGAGGGAGATCTCCGTTGATCTGGAACAAGCGGACGGCATTTTCCTCAGTTGTGAAGAAGAGCAGAAAGCGCAACACTAGAAAACCTAATGGGCGTCATCCAGTCCTTCCGCATATGATTCGTGCTCACAAGGTGTAAAGTCATACAATGGAACATAGTCTTTTACTCTAAGGAATGACAACGAGTTTTGGAACACTGCACATATCTCAGAAGTAGCTCGGACGACAGTAGGCCACATGAAGTCAGTGACCAAATCTAAGGCCAGAATTTCGTTTGCCGATGGGCGCCAAAAGGCATACCCTGTGTCTCAAAGGACGCGTACATTGGGCTAGTGCGGGCTGCGTCGTTGCACGGCTCCGAAACTTGGTCACTTCGCGCGGAGGATATAAGACAGCTATACCTCAGAACTACAGCTAGAGTCGGTTGGAACCACGAAATACGGAACGGTGTGCTCAGGAGATAAGCCTCTGGTGAGGCGAACAGTATTGCTTAAAGAATGCACCATGCAATGCAAGCTAAGGTGGCTGTACTGTGATACGAATGATGAGTAACCGCCTGTGTTGGTTTTCGTGCCCGATTCGGAGTGGCGGAAACCTGGACGTAATGACAACGGGGATCGTCTTTTGCGGTTTTGTACCGACCACCAGGTGTTCCTCAGTAGCACTGGGTTCGGACACAATTACCCCCCAAACCTTACTTTACCTAGTGCCCTCCCAATGATGAATAAACATGGAGCCAGACTGACAATACGGTGTTTAGCACTCGACAGTGCGGCTCTGGTATTGGATGTTGATCTTTCTGGACTACCCATGTCTATTTAGACCATGCTCTCATTCGGTGCAAACTTTCGATAAGTTTCCGTGAAGACCTAGGGACAAATTTTTCATTTGGCCATCGAGGAATTTTCCGAACTACGGGTTAGACAATATTATCGAGCTAACTTATGTAGAGTTTCAGAGAGACGCCCATCGTGACTGGAACGAGGCAGGTCCCCTCATGCGTAAGGCGGATAATTTGGCCTTACGTGTTGTTTCAGAACGGTGAATGCCATTTCTCGATGCACAGTACAATTCAATCAGAAGGGCTTTTAGACTCCAGCTTAATTAGTGTGCGTACGGGTAGAGAAGCCTCATAGAATCAGAACATGGAAGTTGAGGGAGCCAACTCACCTGGGAAAATTCGAAAATTAACTCAGCCGTGAAAACCAGTTGTGAGATCATCAAAGACAATACTGGGAAGTTGGTATAAAACATAAGTTAGCGTCTCGATTACAGGACTGAATATTTTTGGTAGCAGTTTGGAAACCGTCTGTTCCTGTACCCATATATTTCATTCGGCCTGCTCAACTCCAGCCGGTCAGTGAACTTCGAACCTACTAGTACGAATGCCTGGCCGCTTTGAAGCGTTATCGGGCCGCAGCGCCTGACGCGCTTCCACTACCGTTATCCAAGGACGGTGGTGAGTCTTTGTTGTTATCCTTGATCAGGTGGTCAACCTGATTTGGGGACGAGAAGGAGTCCCAACAATCTGACAACAATCATGGTGTCTTCATTAAAAAGGTATCCGAAGCAACTGCTTCAGCCACATGGAAACAAGCTTAACACGACTGCCAGCTTCAGCAATACTGCGACATCTGATCACAACACGCGAGATTTAGGTCCGATCGCACCGGCAGGAGCTCCATCGGATGGGGATGCACTGACCAAGAACTTGGGTGCCGAAATCACATCTGGAATAACAATGACAGACTTGAACTATGCGAATGACATTATTCTGTTATTTGACAAAAGTGCGTCTGCACAAACTGATTTAAATCGAATATTAAGTGGTATTGAGTTAGCAACTTCAAGGCGCTCCCACTCCCACGTATACATTCGGAAATTCAGAGTGGGTAGCTTGATTTTGTTGACGGGTTTATTTATTCTCGCAGCCGCCAAAGTCGTGACTGCGCTGCGACAGATGAATCCAGTACACGCATCACCAAGACATGAGGAACACTTACCAAATTTGTGCTACTTTGCTGTATGAAACTGCCATAAAAGCAGTTCTCTATGACAGAAACTGAAAGACCTATTTGAAGTCCTCAAACGTCTTTAGATATCTGGTCACCGATTTCCCCAAATTCTAACAGGCGGTAGCCGGCTGCTAGACGCATGTGATGCAATGCACCTTTAGCGTCGTCGTTCAGCTGTAGCGCCCTTTCGGTGCCTAGCTGTCATGCCACCCGAAGGAAGCACGAGGGCTGGGATAATGTCAGGTTGCCCAAGCCTAGACAGGGGAAGTCGAGTGGCGGAGGTCGAGTTCGAACCACGGACCTTCCGGTCAGCAAATTCGCGCTCTAACCACTTGAGCCATCTCGCACCTTTAGCGAGAACCAGGTAATTGGAAAAATCGACCGAGCAGACAAGGTTCACCAGAATAGGATGGTCACACTTTTTTGTTCGTGCCATCTCTTGCTATTTCAGTGATTCCCATCGTGCTTCTCTAAGCTAATAATACCAAACGCTGGCATTACCAAAACCCGCGACAAAATTCATGTGCTGTCTTGGGGTCAGGCAAAGTATTTAATCGAAACGTCATTATGAAATTGTTGCTCATTTTAATTTCGTTTGAAAAACGAAAATACGACAGAGCAGCTAGACTTAAAAACCCTTAACTATGCGTGGAGACAGGAGAAATGAAAATAAAAGACAGATGCACGGACTTGGTAGCTTAATCTATTTTCGGGTAGTTATAAGACAAGTCGATCGTAAAACAGTTCTTCGACTTTAGCTAAAATGGATTCTTCCTTATCATTTACCGATGAGTCAATCGCCGCTGCAATTTACGGCGCATTTTGATAACTGGGACGAGTGGAAGAGCATGAGAACCTTAGTTACATTGTGAAAAACATATCTACGATAGCCAGAAACATACCGGTGCTCCAAGAGTAACTTTACTTCCGACAGCATGAGTGTATCAGCATTCTCAAACTCTGTAAAACTTTATCGTCTGTGGACTGAAGTTTCAGGCTTACCTTTCGGAAACTTCAGCTCACAGGCGTCATAATCGTCTGAGACAGCATTCATCTGCGACATGACTGGGGAAGTAGTACAAACAACTCCACTGGACGAAACAATGCGAATGAAAACCGGAAAGCAAGCTGAAATAAAGACAAGCATGTGATGAGGTGAAAAATCCCCGCCAAAATAGTCAAAACATTTTTGTAGCTCTCTAGACGGTCGCGCAACGCTTTATCGGTCCCTTGGCTTGTTGCCCATCTTACTATGATACATTAAAAGGCACATTAGCTCCAGGCAGCCCGTCATGGAGACAACTGTACTTATGGGGGGTAATCACAGGGGGCTAGAATCTCCGTCAGCGTTGAGAAGCGTCGAGCTAAAGACGCTCGATCCAGATTGGCTGGCGTTGTGACTAATCAGGGTATGCCTTTGTTTAGTCCGCACGTGGCAAATTCATCCAGTTGACGTGCTGTCCGGTTATTAGGGTGGCTGGCCCCGTGACACATACGAGAACCCCACTTCCATTTATCAGTTTAGAGTGATGGCCACAAAACAGAACCCATGAAAATCTCTACGGTTGCTAGCAAATATGTTTAAGGGGTATCAATTATCGCACAGAAGTTTAAGCTCATTAGGTAATGCAGGTCTATCTTTTGAGTGCTGCGTACTTCGACGATGAAGTATCGAAATGTGGAGAACTCTAATAAGAGCCTCAGGAAGTCCGAGATGCGTCCGCTAGCTTCTTATACTGTATGTTTGCATCGTCACGCAGCTCATGAAGACGAGCCCATCTGTTAAACAAACAGACTGAGAGAATAAGACTACAAATCAAACCAAAGTCACCGTGGCACGAACCCTAAGGAAAATGTTTCGGGAGGGGAACGCATATGCAATTCAAGTGCTCGGGGCTTAGCTTAAACAAAATAATAATAATGTTTATTCCCGACTTGTGGTGTCTTACCGTGGGAACGCATATGTAATTCAAGTGCTCGGGGCTTAGCTTAAACAAAATAATAATAATGTTTATTCCCGACTTGTGGTTGTCTTACCGTCAGGCATAGTCATACGTTTGCGGCCAGAATAGAACATAACTGGATGACTTACGGGTACTGGAGAGCGCGCAAAAAAGAGGACAATGTCATACACAGTGGGCAATATCTAATAATAATAATAATAATAATAATAACGGTACTAATAGTAGGTTGATTTCACAACCTGTAGGGTGCATGCTGATTGATTCTTGAATGGGTTGTTACAGCCTGAACGCGTAAGGCAACATGACAACGGGGAGGAAGATACAACAAACGAGGCATGTTTATTACATGAAAAAATCATCACAGTTGCGGGAACCGAGAAAACCTCAGGACAGTGGGTATGAGGTCCGAGTACTTCAAAGATGAAGTCAGCTGACATGAACCGAATTTGCGAACCATTGCTAGCCATCAGTGACTTTGGGTGGTTGAGTAAATGGCCAGAGTCACAACAAGCAAAGATGGAGATACAGATGGGATAATCTGAAGTAGATGCGAATGGCAAGTTTTGTCCCGAAAATATGGTCCAACCTGAAACTAAGAAGACTCACTGAGGCCACGTGTGTATGGGAGTCAGTTCAAGGGATAGGTTCGATGAGGAGATAGCGCTAATGCATAGGGCCAAACGAACACCCTATATGGAATTGAAAGTGTGGAAGAGGCGAATCGAACTTGCAGCAGAAACCAGGTTGTTTAAATCCGAACGAAAGTTTCGTCGAGTTAGAATGCACCCGACCAAGGTGGAAAATTTGCTAGTAGTTGCAATTACAGGCTGCAGTGGGGGAGAGGTTGCGGGCAATATTCTGAAGAAAGTAGTTGCGGGAGTGCCTTACATTGGGTATGGCAGTGCCATACCATCATTGCACTGACCTACCTCGGTTTGTGGACAGCCCCGTAAGGGTCATCGAGGAAGCCGAAATCGGAGAGGGGATACGCATTCCTTTGACAGCTGGATCTGGGTTAGGCAGGGGGACCAACCAGACAGAGTCCGGTCGATGTAGGGTCCCGGATAATTCCCCTTCAGTTGGAAGACCATGTGACTGTGGACCAAAGACCAGCCAAATTGGGGGGCGTCTGGGCAACTACAGCCGATTTTGGAAGCTTTGGAAGAGGAGGAATGAGGAAGAAATAGGATGAGAGCAGTATCGTCTGGTAATTAACGGGAGGCATCAGATTAAACGCTGTCAATAGATGAAAAGTCTAAAAGTTGACAATAGCAGGCTAAATGGACCGGGAAAATGGTGGGTTTGTTTGCTTACACAGAAACCAATTGCTAGCTGGATCAGAGTAGGTGCCTAATTTCTAGAAGGAAAGGACTGTGTTGCCGATGTAGCTATGCATGTAGCTATGCATGATGTAGCTAGCATGGAGGCTAGCCATTGGAATGGTTGGAACGGGCGATTACATGACGGTAGTTTTTCGCGCACCGAAAAACTTGTTGTGCAAAGGGGAGGTTAATGTGAACAGGGACAGATATAAGTGATGAGAGGACGGGCGACAGCTTCAGGCGGAGGAGTAAGGGGAACCAAACAAGTAAGAGTGGTGGGTTTGGAACTTTTGGGATGGTGGACTAACTTCCCCGAGGTTATTGTTGAGGTGAGCATACTAGGACAGTCAAGGAGGGAAGATTATTTTAACGGGGATGGTCACCAATCCTCCAAGCACTACTGTCAGCTTCAATCCACAGGTGGCGCATGGCAATGAAGACTTTCGACGCTGGCCTATCATGCTGGTAGTGGAGTGTTTCCAATCTCGCTATATATATATATTGTATATGTCACTCCTTGGAGCGGAGCATAGGTGTTTTTTTGACAAAATAGGTTTTGGTGTAGTGTAGCCTCTATTCTGACGAAGGTAGATACAGCTATGCTCGTCTTTTGTAGGCCATGGGCATTGCATCGTATCTCCTCGCTATTCCAGGTATATCGTTTTTGACAAACGAGAGGCCGTTTTTGATCTTTGTTTTGTGGCGTTGCCAGATAAAAACTCAACTGAGACATGACCAACGCCAGCAGCAACGGAAGTCAGCAGCGCTTTTTGATTTCCTGAATTTAAACGCCAGGCCCAGAACCACCGGTGATGGGCTGGGCATCGTGCTACTGGAGGTGGCGTTAATACGAACGCACCATAGTGCAACCAAACGGGGCGTATCCGTCCGCCACACGAGGTTGTTATTCCTCATGCATGCTACCAGAATTGCGAAGTGGAAAAACATCCAAGCGGTCATAAATGCGGTTTGTGCGTCAATAAATACTCCAGCTACCAATGTTTTCTGGTCAGTGGAAAGCAGGACTAGTAAAGACAGCTCAGTCAATTGGGACAAGCGAATGACATACGAGCACTTGTAGAGGCAAGTCGCGGGGGAGGCATGTGGAATGACAGCTGCCAATGAAAAAACGGGAATAGAGTGAAGATATTCATGGCAAGTGCACCATGGCTAAACGACGTCTGTGCGTTAGTGCGAGCTTCCATGTCAATCAGAAGCGTACCGTGATTTGTGTGGGTTTATTGAGCTGTGGAGGAAATCATTTGATATATATAGGCATAGAATGCTCTCGGGTAATGAAGAGAAAATCTACCTTTGGATGGTTTTCGTCAATTAGAGTTAGGATGAGAGCATCAGCCACTAGACAGAGCTGATATAGTAATATGAAGTAGAAACTAGCTTAGAACGAAGTATAAGTTGGCCGGGGGGAAAGAAAAATAGCCAGGCCAGTAACGTAGCATATTCAGATCAAGTGGGCGTTTAAGTCCTACATTAGAATGAAGCGAGCCAAGAGGAGAGGAGGGAAGGATGACAGGATCATTTACTTGCCCACTGGCTGTATCGTCTCTAAACTCGAACGCGCACTGGACCCGATTCTCAGAGGAGGTCGGGGACAGTTGGGTATTAAGTAAGGCGGCAGCAGACTCACAGGTAAGTTATCTATCTACGAACTGAGAAAAAGCATGATGGTGGTTCGAGACCTAGGATTTGTCAGCGGGAGCGTTACGAGGGAGAGCTGGACCGAGGGAACAGCTCTTCGGTGAATGAGCGTTGGACATTTTCAACGGCGGGTCTGCATCTTTGGGTATAAAAGGAGGAGAATGCGGGACAGAATTCCACGATTGGTCTTTCGCATAGATTAAAAATTGCAACCATTTTGTCTAGAAGATTACGGGAGCGCAGTACTAAAAATTGAGCCTGAGTGCTCTGGCAGCCTGAAACTGCACCTGGTGAGGAAAGCTAAGAGTACAGGAGTATCTGATGCGAGATCTTTGATCTCCGTGGAATGCGTGATAGGATATCTATAAGGTGTGAAAGCATCAGCCGGGAGGGAGTACTGGCAGGAAGTCATGCAGTACTTCGTGGAGTTGAAGCTTAGGTCAGAGTCGTTGGACCAGCGAGTCGGTGAATTTAATTATCGCTTCACCTGGTAAAAGGCAAGGGCCTGTGCTGGTGGAGGGAACGTGCGCGCAATATTTAGATCGTCCGTGAAGAGGAAAACCTCACCATAGGGTATGGCGCCGCAGACGCCATTGATGTAAGCACGAAAAGGATGGAGCCTAGCACACCGCTGTTGCTCTCCATTCCATGTGTAAATGTAAGGAATGAACCCGGCTGATCGTGAACCCGATAAGGACACAACTGCTAAATGTACCTTGGTCCCATGGCTGTTAAATGCTTCACCGATACTGATCATCAACATCATCGATAGCATTATATTAGTGTCCGGCGCCGATGTTTTGCCACCATTCGACCGTGACTCATTTGAAGGCTTTACTGTGAAGAGGCGAATTAAGGTGGATAGAGCCGGGACATGGTGCCAGCGTACTACGATCATTCCGAGCTGCCTACACCTCCACATACTCACTCGGGCAACCTGGATTGAATCTGACATCAAAAACGCCACTGACATCGTTTGGTAGCCACATTTTGGAGCGTCTTCAAATGGGTACAGTGAACCTCGCGTGGTCCCGATAAGTAATGTCGACAATATTCAAGCGATTCGTAATACCCTTCATACCGCTCTGCTGGGTCAAAGGCTATCCACTTCTTCAATTGTCACCCTCTTCGGCAAACTATGATTAGGCATAGATAACACATGTCCCAACCCACGCGGATTCTGGTGCTGAACGCAGTATTCAATGGAAGTACCCCTTGCATAAGCGGAAACTCGCTTTCCAGTTGCCTCGTGACGGATTCATCAACACCGACCCACGCTAGACGTGGTTTTGAGACAACGATTGTCAAACACCTGAAGACGTCTCAGTTCTGCTGCTCGAATAAGCCGAGTCTCAAAGCCGTTCAACAACACAACCCACACCCTAGCTTGCTACACACGTCACTTGAGATTTAGGGGTTGCTCCACATTGACGCCGTAGGTAGCTCAAATGAGCAAACGCGACCTGAGCCCTTCAGGTTCGTGCTTTGACCTTATCTGTCACACTACAATCAGAACCATAATTCGTTGAACGCGCAACAACTTCAGGTTCCTCTCTCCGGATTGCGGGTGGTGTATTTGGTGGCTGGATGTCAACCAGCATGTCGGGTGCTTTGTGGGTGCATGGTGCACATAAAAAACGTGATGCCATCGGTCAGTTTATTCAAAAACACACGCGCCTTCTCCTCCTCTACGAAGGCGAGGACGATGTCGTCTGGATATTCCACATCGACTGGGGTTTCTTCAAAGGCTTTGAAGGCACAGCGTTCGTTTCATGAATTCAACAGTCACTCTCATCCTTAATCTCTTCAATATCTCCCTTATCACTGGCACATTCCCTAGTCAGTGGAAGCACTCTACGATTGTTCCGCAATATAAGTCAGGTCCACGAACTGCTCTAGCCAGCTCTCGTGGCATACACCATACTTGCTTACTACTTCGTACCTTGGAGCAACTCATCGAAGTCCCTGCCATGGACTACCCGCTCACCACCAAAATCCTTAGCAATCGGCAGTATGGGCTTATGGCACGGCGGTCGGCTAACACATGCCAGGTTGATTACTTCAATCATATTTCGTCCGCCTACGATACCGGACTGTGTATTATCCTTATTTACCTTGATATTCGCAAGGCATTCGACCAAGTTCCCCACGATGCACTATTCAACAAATTTCGGGCTAAGGGCATTAGTGGTCCATCAATGCGATGGTTTGCTTCTTACCTCGCTCAACAAATTTCGGGCTAAGGGCATTAGTGGCCCATCAATGCGATGGTTTGCTTCTTACTTAGCTGGTAGAACCCAGGTCACCAAAATCGGGAATCCCTACTCCTCAGTCTTTTCCTTTACCAGTGGAGTTATTCAGGGTAGCACAGGTAAGTTATCTATCTACGAACTGAGAAAAAGCATGATGGTGGTTCGAGACCTAGGATTTGTCAGCGGGAGCGTTACGAGGGAGAGCTGGACCGAGGGAACAGCTCTTCGGTGAATGAGCGTTGGACATTTTCAACGGCGGGTCTGCATCTTTGGGTATAAAAGGAGGAGAATGCGGGACAGAATTCCACGATTGGTCTTTCGCATAGACTAAAAATTGCAACCATTTTGTCTAGAAGATTACGGGAGCGCAGTACTAAAAATTGAGCCTGAGTGCTCTGGCAGCCTGAAACTGCACCTGGTGAGGAAAGCTAAGAGTACAGGAGTATCTGATGCGAGATCTTTGATCTCCGTGGAATGCGTGATAGGATATCTATAAGGTGTGAAAGCATCAGCCGGGAGGGAGTACTGGCAGGAAGTCATGCAGTACTTCGTGGGGTTGAAGCTTAGGTCAGAGTCGTTGGACCAGCGAGTCGGTGAATTTAATTATCGCTTCACCTGGTAAAAGGCAAGGGCCTGTGCTGGTGGAGGGAACGTGCGCGCAATATTTAGATCGTCCGTGAAGAGGAAAACCTCACCATAGGGTATGGCGCCGCAGACGCCATTGATGTAAGCACGAAAAGGATGGAGCCTAGCACACCGCTGTTGCTCTCCATTCCATGTGTAAATGTAAGGAATGAACCCGGCTGATCGTGAACCCGATAAGGACACAACTGCTAAATGTACCTTGGTCCCATGGCTGTTAAATGCTTCACCGATACTGATCATCAACATCATCGATAGCATTATATTAGTGTCCGGCGCCGATGTTTTGCCACCATTCGACCGTGACTCATTTGAAGGCTTTACTGTGAAGAGGCGAATTAAGGTGGATAGAGCCGGGACATGGTGCCAGCGTACTACGATCATTCCGAGCTGCCTACACCTCCACATACTCACTCGGGCAACCTGGATTGAATCTGACATCAAAAACGCCACTGACATCGTTTGGTAGCCACATTTTGGAGCGTCTTCAAATGGGTACAGTGAACCTCGCGTGGTCCCGATAAGTAATGTCGACAATATTCAAGCGATTCGTAATACCCTTCATACCGCTCTGCTGGGTCAAAGGCTATCCACTTCTTCAATTGTCACCCTCTTCGGCAAACTATGATTAGGCATAGATAACACATGTCCCAACCCACGCGGATTCTGGTGCTGAACGCAGTATTCAATGGAAGTACCCCTTGCATAAGCGGAAACTCGCTTTCCAGTTGCCTCGTGACGGATTCATCAACACCGACCCACGCTAGACGTGGTTTTGAGACAACGATTGTCAAACACCTGAAGACGTCTCAGTTCTGCTGCTCGAATAAGCCGAGTCTCAAAGCCGTTCAACAACACAACCCACACCCTAGCTTGCTACACACGTCACTTGAGATTTAGGGGTTGCTCCACATTGACGCCGTAGGTAGCTCAAATGAGCAAACGCGACCTGAGCCCTTCAGGTTCGTGCTTTGACCTTATCTGTCACACTACAATCAGAACCATAATTCGTTGAACGCGCAACAACTTCAGGTTCCTCTCTCCGGATTGCGGGTGGTGTATTTGGTGGCTGGATGTCAACCAGCATGTCGGGTGCTTTGTGGGTGCATGGTGCACATAAAAAACGTGATGCCATCGGTCAGTTTATTCAAAAACACAAGCGCCTTCTCCTCCTCTACGAAGGCGAGGACGATGTCGTCTGGATATTCCACATCGACTGGGGTTTCTTCAAAGGCTTTGAAGGCACAGCGTTCGTTTCATGAATTCAACAGACACTCTCATCCTTAATCTCTTCAATATCTCCCTTATCACTGGCACATTCCCTAGTCAGTGGAAGCACTCTACGATTGTTCCGCAATATAAGTCAGGTCCACGAACTGCTCTAGCCAGCTCTCGTGGCATACACCATACTTGCTTACTACTTCGTACCTTGGAGCAACTCATCGAAGTCCCTGCCATGGACTACCCGCTCACCACCAAAATCCTTAGCAATCGGCAGTATGGGCTTATGGCACGGCGGTCGGCTAACACATGCCAGGTTGATTACTTCA